GAAGGTTCCGGGGGAACCACACCCGAGAGGGGAACATGGCTTCGGGGGGGCTAGGTAGCCTGGATGACGGCGGAGTGGCTGCCTGAGAGGAGAGGATCATAGAGGGGTCCTGTATGGATGATTCTGGGGCCCAGTGTGGGGCCGGTGATGATAAGAACACCTAGATGCCATCTGCGAGGCTTGGGCTGCGGTGTAGGGGAGGAAAGGAGCCGCAGATAGCGCCCCCTGGCATCGGGGCATTGCAATGGGCAGCCTCCCGCTTAATTAACATCTTAATGGAACTTATTATCATCAAAGGTGTGGTGGGCGAGATAGGCGGGCAGTTGCCCAGAGACAGGTGGGCGGGCTGTGGAGAACGGCCCCGAGATGGCCCCCTGTCACACTCTATATCGAAAATATGTCAATTTGTTATAATTTTTCAGGTATAGAATCTAAGTAATGGAGGGTTGTCTTCAATCTTACCCACCCCTCACTGCTACAGCAGGGAAAACAGCAGCTGGAGAGGGGGTCAGGTGGCCCCCTTGCCTTCTGCCCTGGCTATGCAGCAGTGTCGGTGCTGATGGTCAGCTGGGCAAAGGAAAGACTTTCCATGTGCTCCATGCCTGGGAAAGACCCGAGCTGCAGCCAGAGTTGACCTGTGCCTGGACAGTAAGCAGGCAGGAAGGCAGAAGCTGCAGAGGAAGTGGGGGGGTGGAGGGCAAGAGGCTGCCGTGGGTCTGACTCTGGGCCAGAGTTGGAGCCACAGGAGCTGCTGCCTCCTCCCTGCACTTTGTATGCAAATATAAGGTGAGGGGCTCCCTCCCCCACCTCCCCCCACTCCCATGATGATTGGGGGAAAATCTGTGTCTTATATTCAAGTAAATTCTGTAGTTTTCAGTGTTCTTTTATATGGAAGTGAGGCTGGGTAATCTAGCTCTTTTGTCTCAGTCTCTCCTGAATTATCTCTTATACAACTTGTTTTAGTAGGCTTAAGTTTACTCACCTGAAAAAGAAATAGCAACCAATGACTGTGGATCATCAGTAAAGGGCTTATGATTTGCCTTGTCCAGTATTCTGTATGGGCTGTGCTGGTAGAAGATGGTGTAGGAGAAGGTACAAAAAGTCCTAAGGTGGGTAGTCCTGAATGACCTGGTCATAGTTTCTTTTGTCTCGCTGTCAGCTAGCATTCAGTTTTTGCCCTTAAATATTAGGATTTTTATCTAATAGGTTTTCTAACCACTTGGAAGGGGAACACTTTGTTAGTAACATCCATACAAAGACTGTACACGTAAACTCTGTCAATCCTCAGCTAAAATGTATATGAATGTTCTTTGTAGATAGGTACATAAAATCATTTTGCAGTAGATATGAGTTAATTAAAAATGAACAAATTTAATATGCATTTCAAACTAGTGTGCATATTCCAAGCTTTATAGTGCTTGCAAATGATTTTTTTCATATGAGAAGTAAATAGCATAAAAAGGAGGAATTACTGAAGAAAAATAAGAATATGATATGTAAAATGCCTGTGTATTGTTTTGAAAATGTGGCCTTTCAGTACAGACTCCAGAGATTCAAGATAACTTTTACTCTGTCACTCTCTGGTATTTGAATAGGCTTCATTTAATAAACTTTAGAAATTGCCATCTACGTTATTCCAGTCACTAGAAAGTAATCTGCCTGATTCTCTTCTCTCTCATGAAAGTATATAAATATTATTAATCCTGCTGACGCTGCTTAAGCATTTGTTAAAATT